TGCAGAACACCATGAAATTCCAAAAGGTTCACATACTTTTTCTTGCAACTGTATATTTAGAAAGCTTATACACTGCCCTTGTACACTAAGGAGAGTGTATAAACTTCCTAAATATAGTGGGGTAACAGGAATATTGGGAAAAGTGACTATGTGATGTTAGAGTGCTTAATCAAGGAAACTAAAGCCATACAAAAAGCTCAGAAAAGATCTGAATACAATAAAGGGGCATAATATAAGAGGTGAAAAAACAAATAGTTGACAAAGGAAGAATGCAGACTGGTAGTCCAGAATCACAGAGATATTGTCAGAAAAACTAAAGCTGGGGTTGGCAAAGGATGCTGAGAATAAAAGGGGAGAATAAAAGGCCTTATTTGGATAGACATGTTCAAAATGAAAGAAAAAGAACAGTATATAATTTCTTGATGAAAATGGCATATTAATTAGCAACAAAGGAAAAGGGAAGCTACTTAGCTGGTATGGCTTTGAGAAGAAGGATATGTGTATCAATGGGCAATTGTGAAGAACATTTTGAAACTCATAGAATCATAGGATTGGATGTGATCTTGAAGGTCATGTCCATTCTTCGCTCACTTCACGTTTCACTACAGCATCTCTGACAAGTAGCCATGCAGCCTTTGAGGACCTAGTGAAGAACTCACCACTTCATGTGGCAGCCTGTTCCACTAACTGAAAGCCTGTATAATCAGGAAGTTCCTCCTGATGCCTAACTTGAACCTGTCTAGTTTTAACCCATTAGTTCTGCTCCAGCCCTTTGGGGCAATAGAGAAAAAGTCCTCTTCCTCTTATATATGACAGCTCTTCAGATATTTGCAGACTGCTATAATATATCCCCTCAATCATTTTGGTAAGCTGCACATATCCAAATTGTTTAAGAAACTAATAAGAAAAATTTAAGAAACCATTCCTCATAGGGTTTGATTTCCAGATCCCCTATCATCTTCATAGCCCTCCTCTGAAATCACTTCAATTTTTACTCTTCTTTTTGAGCTGTATTATCTTGAACTGGACACTGTATTCCAAGTGGAGTCATCAAGGCAGAGTGGAGTGGAACTCTTGCTTCCTGTGATCTGGATACTGTGCACCCCAAAATGATGATGGCAATGATGATAAGAATGCACCTCAAGAAAGGATTTTTAGTAGCGGTTTGATATTGCTGGCTTCTTGATTGTTGACTTGTGGTTGACCAGGACACCCAGATCCTTTCTAGATGATGTACTACCAAGCTAGGTGTCACCCATCCTTTTTTATAACTCACTTTTCCTAATCAGATCCAGAACTTTACATTTCTCCCTTTTAAATTCCATTTACTACTATTGCCCTGATCTACTAAGCTAGTAACTATGTTGAAAGATAGACAAATCTATGCTGATAAATCTATGCTTGTAAACTTTAATATCAAAGATGAGGGTCTGCAACTGACAATTTTTCTATGCAGATGTTCCCCCCTTCATGCATCTGCTGCAACCCCTATCCTCCACTCCAACTTAACACAGATAAATATTTCCATTCAGTTGAACAGTCAAATAAGCCTGCCTTTTGTGTAATGTGTTTTTTGAAGAAAACACAAGCAGGGCAACTGCAATGTTCCAGCAATGCTGGGCATTGGTCCTCAGAGTAGCAGCTAAAATAATCTTGCATGCCAGACCCCAACATGCATTTAATCAGTGGTCTCTGTTGACAATAAATAGCAGTAATCATAGCAGTAGAATTGTTATAATTTAGATTTTTTTCCTGACAACAAAGATTGTTGGTTCCTTGGTAGAAACAGTACTCCCCAGCATGGATCAGTATGAAAAATATTGTTGGCGAGCATGGACTTTTATTTCTTCTGACTTATAGGATGGATATTGTAAGAAGGCAAGTCTTTGAAACTTTCATATTCAGCATAGTTGTTATTACTGTCTTAAAGGCAGGGTGAATGAAATAAGGAAATATAATGCAAAATTCCATCAGCTTTCAAAAATCGAGAAAACACTGAAATTTAAAATACAGGAGCTACTGCAGAGCCTTGTTCAAAGTTATTTCAAGGCATGATTCTTCTATTTCTCCTTCCAATTAAGCTTATGTATAATCCCAATTTCTAGTGGGAGGGAGACCAACTGAGGCTATCTTCTTTCTGTAGTTATATTAACTACTATTACATATTGGCATGGGACTTCATACAGGTAATCCATTACTATCAGAATCAGCTCTAGCTAACCACAGTCTATTGGAGTAGAATTATCCCAGAGAAATAATTACTTCCTTCTGGTGTGGTAATAGCAGTTACGTCAGAATAATCACCTTAAAATTAGTTGTATTGGTTGTCAAATGTCCGTGGGTTGACACACACTTTTTCTATTCAACTGGATTTGGACACTTGGCTGAGTTCCCAGGAAGCTGAGAATTCTCTGCTATTGTAAACATAGAGCAAGATTGGATCTACTGGTTATTTTTTACTAACATCCAGAGGACAGATTGTGGTCTGCAAGCTCAGTGACCAACTAGGCTTTAGGCAAACTCTTATTTTGTTCTTAGCAGGGTGCAATTTTTATTCCTGTATTTGTGGTTATATACTCACTAAAGAAATAATGCAAATTGAATAAAAATGGATATAAAAATTGTATCAGCTTTTTAATGCAAACTAAATTTAAAATATGTTTTTGTTTTCCAATAACCGATTATGCAATTTCCTGCAGACACTTGTGGATTTCCTGACATGTCTTCACAATTTAAAATCATCTTACTTTATCTCTAAAGAAGCCACTTTTGCAGATTTGAAACAATCAGTTGAAGAGTATTGAAAACCGTGAGCCTTCTATAGCATTTGAATTTAAACGAGAAGAAAACATTAATTTAGGGAAGACCACGAGTTGATAGAAAATACATGTTTTCATTGTTCACGTTGTAGTTAGTAAGAACTGAGAGGAAATGATCTAATGTTTAATCCTTGCTTCAAACTCAAAGCATTAACTTGCATCCATTCTCTTGTTATCCATATGTTGTCAACTACTATAAAACAATATTAAAAATAAATGAACTTTATATGGTTAAAATGTGTAACTACAATTTAAATAGTTCTATTGTGGTATGGTTTACTGTATGTTAATTGAATTAATACAGTTCTTACTGAAGTGAATCCCATTTTTTTTTAAGTGTACAGTGGTACCTTGGGATACGAACTTAATCCGTTCCGTGACTCTGGACGTATCCTGAGTTGGTCGTAACCTGAAGCAAATTTTCCCATAAGGTTCAATGTAAATCCGGTTAATCCGTTCTGCCCTCCGAATTTGGTCACAACCCGAGGCAAATTTCCCCATAGGGTTCAATGTAAATCTGGTTAATCCGTTCCGCTCTCCGCCCAAATTTGGTTGCAACCCGAGGCAATTTTCTCTTCAGAGCCTTACTCCCGCCAAGCCTGCTCTGCATTTTCTTTGGAGCCATGCTAACATGCACACCAAAAACCTTGCAAAACACCGCAAAACACACCACAAGCCTCACCGAACGTCTCCTTGCTACTGCGACCTCGCCTACAGGAAGCCGCAACCACGTGGCAGCAGGGAAAATGGCCGCGGATCCAGTTCGTAAGTAGAGGCGAGTTCGTAACCCGAGGTAAATGTTTCCTGCCAAAGCTGGTCGTAACCCAAAATGTTCATTAGTAGAGGCGTTTGTATCCCGAGGTACCACTGTATTCATATGAAATAAACATGGTCATTTTCAACAAGTATATATTTTTTTTTCTAACTCACTGGAGAAAACCGGTCAAAATTTGGCATATTTAAATACGTGTTTCATAGAAGAAGTATTAAAAGTATTTTAGATCCTCAGTTCACAAGTTTAAAAAAAGGTTGATTTTGACAGAATCATGTTTTAGTCCAGGCTGTAGGTTATGTGATTTATTTTATTTTATTTTTATTTATTTTATATGACCACCCATCTCACTAGATGTTAATCTGGGCAGTGTATAACTAACAGCAAGTAAAACAATACGGCAACCATTAAAACACTTAAAACAACAAGATAAAAAATAAAAAGCAAGATTGTGGGAGAATAACAACCATCTAGGCACAAGCAGCCATCTTGCAGATTATGATGCCCCCAGACTCAATGTTTGTGTCTCCAGCAGCAACTGCCAATCATACTGTTGGTACTTAAGACATCATCTTGAAGGCAAAATAAGGGCATTAAATCTCTACAAAATAGGTCATGTACCTATTTTGGTTTCAACTTCTACAACTCTCCTACAAAACAAAGTAGGGAAAATCTGTAGTGCATAGCTCTTGGAATTCTTTCCAACCCCTTTATCGGTATTTTTTTTCTGTGTAAAGTAAGGACAATCCAGCCCTCCTGTAGAGTTATGCAAATTAGTATATACATGCAGTTATATTGATTGTAACATAATGCATGTTTAAAAAAGGTAGATGAGGTAATGTGGCTGGCACTACAAAAACAGTTGTTGAGTTAGACATAGGCTGTTTCTTTGAATAAAGTTGATGTTTGAAGTGTTAACTTTCCCTGTGTTACCTCCCAGAGGCCTCATTTCTCAGTGCTGTTGTCTCAGTACTTTCTTGTGTCTTTAATGTTCTTAGCTGAGCTGATAGTTTATATGCTCTGGGAAAGGGAAACAGAGAAAGTATTTTTACTTGCCTCAACTAAAGACATCTTTCTGCTTCATGTATGTACATGTTTGTACAGCAGGAAACACGGGGTAGGCAGCATACACTCCATTCTAAGTTATGTGCCTGAGAGCAAACGGGGGGGGGGGGTTAGAGCAGTCACCAACATTAAACCATTGCCCAACTGCCTCTCCCATGGAGATGCCTTGGCTAAATGTTGAGGGGATTTTTTTCCACAGCTGTTTTCCCCCAGATGCCCTCAAGAAGGGAGCTCTTGGATAAAGGAAAAATGCTGTATCCTTTAGTGATTCCCAAGAAAGGAGGTAAAAGCCAATGTGATCAACCCAAGCTTTATTAAAGGTAAATATTTACAGAAGTAAACATGCAATTCTCCCTGTGACAGACAACAAGTATGTATGGTGTGTTCTGCCATGGCACGTCAATGCCAAGGGCTGGTTTCTAAAGTTTTATAACCCTTGTGCTGAGTATGTTGCAAAACAAGTGTGACAAACTAGCTTATCAGTTAAATGCCTTTCCTGTGAACTCTATATCTGCACCTGGCATTAACCCCACCTGCATTCCCAGATACAGCCTCTGCCATGCTGTGCATCTTACTATTTTTTATACTAAAGTTCATGCAGTGGTTAAACATGGCATTAGCTTGGTTCAGGGTATACAACCCAGCTGGATATGACCCATTTTCAAACCAAATACTTCTTTTCCTCTACTCCATGCACGTCAAATTTGATCTTGTTCTTTTCAGAGAGTTATTCTACTGACAGAATCCTGACCCTTTTCACATTTATTTCCAATATTCTTGTTAAATTGGAAAATACATTGATTCTGGAGACATCACCATCGCTGGAAAAAAAATAGTTATGAATCATGGCTCCAAAATTAGTTTACTCCAATTAAATAAATAATGCCAAAATGTTAAATGTTCCTGATGTTGAAATTATCACTTTTTTATGAATGGACAGATAAATGTATAGCTTTAAAATATTTTTTAAATTAGCCATTACTAGGAAGCCACTGCTCCAATGCAAAGCAATAGTTAAATAGAAGTATATTTCTGATTTCCAAATCAGAAAAAATACAATTCCAATGTATTCTGGGTTAGTCCAACCCCCCTACTTTGAGTATTGTGTACAGTTCCTGATACCACAATCAGAATTTAGACAAAAACGAGGCTGATAATAGCTCTCTAGCTAGTAACCAAATCATAAGTGCAATTGAAGGAATTGGAAATTTTTTAGCCCTGAGAAGAGAAAACTAAGTGGAATATAATAACAGTATCTCAGTGCCTGAAAGGGCGTCACACACACAGTCAAGATCTGTTTTCAGATTTTTCACATTTCAGAATGCTGGATGTGAAAAAAAAAATGGGTTTAAATTTCAGAAAATCAGATTCAGACTGAATGTTAGAAAATACTTTAAAGAATAAGAACAGTTCAACAGTTAAACCAACCACTCAGATGGTGCAGGTTTGGACAGTAGAAATCACCTTCCTCTAAGACTGGCTATCTTAGGTGCATCAATGCCTAGGAATAGAAAGCAGAACATGAATATCATTGCATTTCAAGCAGTTTTATCTTACAGGAAAATATTTTAGAGTATAAAGTATTGGAGCCAAATTAGTTCAATAGGTTTATACCTAATATTGCATACCAATATGAGGTGGTTAAATCCTAATCGTATGTAACACCTATAACACTGTCCTCTCAGAAGGACAACCTTTCTAACTGCTAAGAGTATTGCCAGCAGACCACAACTTTGGGATAAATCCTGCTGAGATTTTTCATTCTGCGCCTTTCCCATAAAAAGAAAGCAAACGGGTAGTCTGATGAAATCTTGGCTTTGGGAGCTTTCCAAAGGAGAATGGCTTGGAAGGTTTATTCCACACAACAGCAGGTCAACTGATTCACTATCCCCTACAGTCTCTTCGGCAGACAGTCTGAAAGCTGTGCTGCCCTTTCTTCATTCCTGCTTTCACTGCCTTAAAAAAGAAAATAAAATACTTCAAAACAGGTGAAAACTCTCAAATATTTGACTGAAACTTCCACAGGAAAGTATCTTCTAAAGAACAACAGGACAAAAGGACTATTTTCATCCCATTTTGCCTCTTCCCCCGCCCCCGAATCATGCATGCATTTTAATTTCCATTTTAAAGCCAATGTCAGAGTAGTCTGAATCAAACTAGTTTGCCTCTGAATCTGAAAATTCAAATTAGAAGCAAATTACAGTTCTATAAAATGGCTTGGTAATGACACAAAAAAGTTATTAGAATAATAGTTGTAAATGGAATATAAATCAATGTGAAGTGATTGGGAAAAAAAGATACATGTTAGATGGCATCAACAAAAATATAATTTCCAAATGATGGAAGTAATCATTCTACTTTATTCTGCCTTGGTCAGACCCTATATGAGTAATGTATCTAGGTCTGGACACCACAATTAAATTCAGAGAAATTGGAAGAGTTTCAGAGAAAGATAATCGGAGATCTAGAAACTAGGATCTATGAAGTGTGATTATAGGAAGTCAGCCCATGTAGTTTTGAGAAAGGATACAGTGTGGAGGATACAGTAGCACTTTTCAAAGCCTGGAAAGGATGTACAAAGTTTAAGATCTGTTCTCCCTTGTTCCACAGTGCAGAAACAATACAGTAAAATAGTGTGATGCAGCCACTAAAAAAAGCAAATACTCGGGTGCATGAATGGGCATGGTATCCAGACCATGGAAGTAGTTTGAAGTACTGTGAAGAAGTACTGTGTCAAGTTCTGGGCACCACTGCTCAAATCATGACAGTGACAAACTGCAGCAAATACTGAGGTTATTAAGATGGGTGAAAGGTCCAGAAACCAAAGCTTATACAGAATGTTAAAGGATCCAGGTGTGTTTTACTTGGGGATGATGCTGAGGGGACATGTGATAGCAGTCTTCCAATACTGGAAGGTTTGTCACATGGAGTTTTCGATTGCCCCAGAAGGCAGAACCAGAATCAATGGCTGGAAGGATGTTCAAACATTAGGAGAAACTTCTTGAGTGTATGAGTTGTCAGCCAGTGGAAGAGATTGCTACATGATTTGGTGAGTTCTTTGCTGAAAGTCTTGAGCCAGAGGCTGGAAAGTCATCTGCCAGAGACGTTCAGGTGGATATGCCTCTAGCACTAAGCAGGACACTTGGAAGTCTTGTTGGACAGAGAAGTATTTTCAAAGCCATACAATTTTTGTCTGAAGGGGTAGAAGATAATTTTTAACTACACAATGTTGTGTATTCTATGAAAGGGCATTATCAGGAATATTTTAAAAGGTGTCTGCCTTCAGAAAAGAGAAATGCGGGGGGGGGGGAGTACTGTATCAAAAATAAAGACACAAAACTAGCCCCAACGGTGGTTCCCCAGCTCCTCGCCGGGAAACGGCCCGTCATACTATCCCCGAAGGTGGTCTTGCAACACTGGCGGCTGGATAACTCGAGCTTACTGTCCCCTTGCTCCACTTTGGGGACCCTCCGCGCTGCCCTCTTTCAACCCTCAGCTTTGAGTGAATAACAAAACACGGAAGTCATGACCTTGTGCACCGAACGAAATAGCTGTGGCTCCGCCAGCACAACTGAGTTTATTTTTAAATCTCTTTGCTACGCATGTTGCTTACGCCTGACGAGGGAGTCTGGTGTAAGCTCTCCCCGTAGCGACCGCACGGCTCTCCGCCACCCAGCGAGTCCCCGGAGGGAGGAGGAGAACGAAGGTCCTTCTCTCACTCCTGCTCTGCCATCCCCGAAGCGACCCAATCAGAGCTCCCTCCCCTTCCACGTGCCCTTTGTAGCAGCTAATCGTGTCCCAAAGACCCCGACTCGAAGAAGAGCGAAGGGGCGACTCCTGGGCTCGTTAGCCACAGCCCGCGTCTTTCCGCCTCCCTCAGCGAAGGCTTTTCACGGGGTTGGTTTGGTTGCACCTTGGTCCTCCCCTTGACGTCTGCAACGGCATCTTTCCTTGGAATGATTTGTTCGTCAAAGATTCCTGTGCTTAAAATAAAGTCCCTTGGCATCGACAGGCTTCATTCCTCTACTGGAACCATGGCTTTGGTCGCCCTACTGAAGTGGTGCGTGTGGCTTGGCCTCGGTGAGTGCTGCTTCGTGCCAGTTCAGAATAGGCTATTTAGAGGCGAGGACAAAGAGGTGGGCAGGCCAGACAGGACCGGAGTCGATCACACGTTGTGGCGATATAGATTGAGACCTGAATGGGGGATTTAAGATGTGTTGCATTTCAGCTCTTATCATCTTTGCCAACTGTTTGGAAAGCACCATGTTCAGGGCACTCAGTGGCTTAGCCTCTGGGTTGATAAAATTAAGATCTATCATATTCTAAATCAGGCTAGGAATGGAAGCAGATGTGAGCCAGCTATAGGACTGAATTTCAAAAAAATGGACATTTCACCCTCTCCCTGCAAACGGGGGGTGGGGGTGGGGACTGGGCCCACAGAGAAGCAGCCGGTTGTGCCCTTTGCTTGCATTCTCCCTCTCTGCATGTTGAAGCACAGAGGACTGGTCATTCTACTGTATTCTCCTTTGAATATAGTGACGATGATTGGGCCCAAGCAGTCCTTCACATTGCTCAGAAAAAAGGCAGGCAAACAGGCAAAGATGGGGACTGTTCCCTCTGAACGGCTAAGCTAAGGCTACATACCGTAAGCAGAGTAAATGAGCAAATGGGCACTGCCCTCAGCCACAAGGAAGGCAGTTCCTCTTAGCAGAGAATCACCAACCACAACAATGCAGCTCTTCCCAAGTGTCAGTGTTATACTGAAGTTGTAATTTCTTAGATCCTTCCCACCCCCACCGCCACTTTTTTTTTAGGATAAGGACAAGTTTGCCGTCTCTAGTTTTGTTTTGTTTTTTGCCGTTGAGTCACTGTTGACTCCCAGTGACTGCGTGGACTACTCCCTGCAGTTTTCTTGGCAAGATTTTGGAAGGGGCTTGCCCTTGCCTGCTTCCTAGGGCTGAGAGAGAATGACTGGCCCAAGGTCAGCCAGTTGGCTTCATGCCTAAAGCGGGACTAGAACTTATGGTCTTCAGGTTTTTAGCCTGGTGCTTTAACCACTACACCAAACTGGCTTTCTTTTCTAGTTATTCAGCACTTCACTATTCTGCAGGATTTTAAAAAGGTAATGGATGGGTTCAGCCAGACTTTCAGTATCCTTGGGTGATGTTTAGCAGGACCTGGATATCTTCACTCATTCCAGATATCTTACCACTTCCTCTAATAGCATCAAGCTGCAGTCTCACCCTTTCAACATGGTCTTTGTAGCTGCCCATTGAACATAGTTTTGTTCAAGAGGACTGAGCTAAGTAATTCCACCTATCCTTCATTATGTCTTAGCATTTAAAGCAGCTGATATACTGATTCTCATTCTTTATTTTGAACATCTCAACATTAGCTCATTCTGAGCTTTAGCTTTTCTGACACCATCCCTATCAGTGCTAACTATCTTTGAATACTCTTCCTCCCATCTATCCATCTATCTTCTTCATGTTTATGTCTCTATTAAGCTTTTTTTAATAGTCAAATTGGCTTCTTTTGCTCTGTTTTTTCTTTGTTGGAATTATTGGTAATTATCTTTTTAGTAAGCTTCTCTCTGAGGAGCTCCCACCCATCTTGTGCTCCTTTTTACATGAGTTCCTCCTGCTGTGGAATCCTACTTATCATTGTTTTGAGTTTGGTAAAATGTGCTTTTAGCATTCAAGATAAGTAATTGACTACTCAGCATTATTTTTCTTTAAAACAAGTAAATCAAAATTACCCAAATCCAAAAATAAAAACTCATGCAAATAAGATGAATCCACAATACCAATCCATTCCTGAGCACTTACTCTAAAACTTTTTAAATATGAAGTAAATTTAGACTTAGGAATACAAGCTCATGTCTGAGTGATCAATGTTGTTACTGCAAATACTGCCAGGTTGGCTTGAAAGCTTCATGCATGTGGAACTGAACCAATGTGAAGATCAAGGCTACTTCCCAAACATTGGTCTCAGTCATTTCTATGCAGTCCATGCATTTTTGTGCAGTTCTCTGAATCCTTTACCTTTTCAAGGAGCAGAAAATGCTGGTGCAGACTGTCGTTTGTTCTCTTGTCCCTATGATGCTCCTTTTATCTTATGCTAGTTTCTGTAGGTTCTGTAGTTTCTTCAAGTTCTCACCATTCTTAATCCTCCTAATCTCTCTAAACAGTAGCACTGTGCAGCTTTAAATTTTCCTGAAGCCAAGCACCATGAGATATTAAAATTGTTTTTTGTGTTTGGGCTGCAACCACCCAGATGGGCTATGAGCATGCATTAGCCAATCTTAAGCAACATGCTACTGACCTGTCATTCTTACCCAGAAACATTTTTTTGAATCACTCTGCTCATGTATTTCACCCTGCTAGGTATCATATAACAGTCCACAAATTCAGAAGGGCTTTATTTTTGGCCAGATTTAATGCCCTTCCAACAGCAATTACTGAGGGGAGATATCGGAACATCCCATTTGATTGGAGACTTTCCCTGTGGTAGAGGAGCCATTGAAATGCTTGATCATATTATATTGTACTATTTATTCTATGCTATGCTCACAAGGAATTGCTATTCCCCCTTTTAGTCAAGCACCCTGGTGACTTTGACTTCTTTTACATTCAGTTATTATCAGATCAATCCAATTCTACTTCAGTGAATGTTGCTAAATGCTGCTACACTGTTTGTACAATATGCTGCAATCTTTTTTCAAATAGTCATTAGACATTTCTTGTCTGGCATTATTGATCACCTATTTTAGCTGTAGCCATCTATTTAATTATCTATATCTATGCATTAGGTTATATGTACTTTTATTGATTATTATTATTATTACTATTATTATTATTATTAAAACCATTTACTGCAATTTAACTCTTTAACCTTTCAAGTCATAACCACTCTGCTATTTTACTTTATTTTACATCATTATACTTGCTATAGGCATGATATTAATATTAAACATTATTTATAGATTTTAGCAAAATAATTATTTTATATTTCATGTTAGCTACTTTTATTATTCTAAACAATTGCTCCATAGTTCTGTCTAAACTTTACACATTTGCACTATATTCACTCTTGTGTTTAAATCTTAAATTTATAATTTTAGTTGTTTTAGTATCATGGTGTCTTAATTTGTGCTAACAATGAAACATTTCAGTCAATTTTTATAGTATATAGGTTACACTATTATTTCAACAGAATGGCTGCAATCTTATTTTTCAAAGGTCTCTTTATTTTCTGGTCAGTGACTGAAATAAAGAGACTTGACGACAGTAGCATTGTGGTTTCTTACATTTCTGAGTTATAACGGTAAGAACTGTAAAGAACAGTTTAATATAAGCAAGTTCAAATTAATGCTGTGTCAAAGAATTACTCTTATTTCAAAAAACAAACGTTATGAGAAGCTACTTAGCATAGCTATTCTATTGTATGAACGTATATGCATTTTTTCACCTTGTAGGTCCTTGGATCAGCCATAACACTAGTGTTGTAAAACCTCTTGAACAATAGACAGTTGGACTGAGTGGGGACCACATGACTTACTTTCAGGCCACATCCTGAAAGTTCATAAATTACCGTACTTATCGGCGTATAACACGCACAGGTGTATAACACGCACCTTAATTTTAAGAAGGAAGCTTGAGGGGAAAAAACTTAAATTTAAAATAAATGACTTGGAAGCAAAATAAAGGGAGCTCTGAACTTTT